CGGGATTGCGAAAGCAGGCGCGCAAACCACGAGACAACTTCCAAAGGCCGTTTCGCGAGCAAGAATATTGCACGGCGCCACAGCGAGAGCGCTTCGACACGCACAATCTCCGCAGAGGGTTCGCCGAGACTAAGACAAATTCCGCACGGCGCCACAGCGAGAGCGCTTCGACGCGCACGATCTCCGCAGAGGGTCGCGCGCGGCCAGCAGAAATCGTAAAAAGTCCACAGTTTTTGAACCTCGACCACGCGAATCTCCGCAGAGGGTCGCGCGCGGCCAGCAGAAATCGTAAAAAGTCCTCAGTTTTTGAACCTCGACCACGCGAATCTCCGCAGAGGGTCGCGCGCGCATGCTAAAAATCGTAAAAAGTCCCCAGTTTTTGAACCTCGACCACGCGAATCTCCGCAGAGGGTCGCGCGCGGCCAGCAGAAATCGTAAAAAGTCCTCAGTTTTTGAACCTCGACCACGCGAATCTCCGCAGAGGGTCGCGCGCGGCCAGCAGAAATCGTAAAAAGTCCGCAGTTTTTGAACCTCGACCACGCGAATCTCCGCAGAGGGTCGCGCGCGCACCGCAGAAATCGTAAAAAGTCCTCAGTTTTTGAACCTCGACCACGCGAATCTCCGCAGAGGGTCGCAATCCCGAGCGACGATCAAACTCCCGCCCCGGCGCCTTAGAAACCTAAACTAACTTACATAGCTGCTAACGCCGAAGCTCTAAGCTCTACCTAACCTTGGCTCTATGTAACTTGGCTCTATGTAACTTGGCTCTATGTAACTTGGCTCTATGTAACTTGGCTCTATGTAACTTGGCTCTATGTAACTTGGCTCTATGTAACTTGGCTCTATGTAACTTGGCTCTATGTAACTTGGCTCTATGTAACTTGGCTCTATGTAACTTGGCTCTATGTAACTTGGCTCTATGTAACTTGGCTCTATGTAACTTGGCTCTATGTAACTTGGCTCTATGTAACTTGGCTCTATGTAACTTGGCTCTATGTAACTTGGCTCTATGTAACTTGGCTCTATGTAACTTGGCTCTATGTAACTTGGCTCTATGTAACTTGGCTCTATGTAACTTGTCCAAGGGCTCCGCACGGAAGAACCCTTCGCGATGCTTTCGGGAAAACTGGAAACAAAACGACCCACTGCGGCATTGCGCTGCGGTTCATTTTGAGTGTTGCCCCTTGCTCGTCTTGCTCGTCTTGCCGCCTACGGATTTGGCCAAGCCACCGCTGCCTCAGCGCCGCCATGACCCGCTCCAGCTGCAACTCAGGCAGCAGCGAGGGCGTACCCCCGCCGAAGTACAAACCTCGCCAGGATCAAACTGGGTCCATTCAAGCGACATCCGGAAAATTTATTTTGAATGGTCGTTCAAAAGGAAACAAACCTGATTTTGAGAATAAAAGCAACACTTGGAATGCTGTTTATAGAATCAACACACATATGGCCATGGGTCAAAATCCCGTACCGCCAGTGAACATTGGTAACATCCCAATCCCCACTAAAATAGGCTAAAATGGGCGGTGCACCAATTTAAAATGGTACCATTGGTTTTGACCCACCGCCACATATTCAATACAAGGGTCCTAGAAGGGAAAGTTGGCTCTGTTCCAGAGTCCAACTAAAACTCACGGGAAGAAGTCAAATAAACTACAGGGGTGTACCAAATCCCAGTCACAAACAAACGCCTGCCTAAGCCTCAAGGTCAATGCCAGCACTAGCTAGTCTAGCACATGGAAGACGACTGGCTAGGGTGGGTTCATGCTGGGATTAGTTGCGGCTTAGGCTGGGATGAGTGGAGGGGGGGGCCCACTTGATTTAGGGTAGGTTTAGGATGGTGTAGACATAGGTTAGTGCTGGTTTAGCGTTGGTTTAGGGTGGATTTCAGAGTGGCATGGGGCCATGCAGCTTTCTCGGGGCTTGTTTAGGGTTGGTTTAGTGCTATAGGCCTTGCTGAGGGTTTGTTTGGGGTTGGGTAAGGGTGGACTTTGGGCTGGTACAGGGTGGGTTTGGGGATAAGGCTGGCTTATGGAGTTGCTTTAGGGATGGTTAAGGGCTGGTTTAGGGTGCCCTTCCGGTTTGTTTAAGGTTTAGGGGACTTAGGGTGGAATTAGGGTTAGTTTAGGGCGGGTTTGTGGTTGGCTTAGGGTTTCTTTAAGGCGGGCTAAGGGATGAAAGGAATGCCTGCAACCCTTTGAGTTGAGGCTCACCACACCTAGGCGGCCAACTGACCCACCGATCGACCAACCGACCAAATGGCAGGACCCTGCCACGACCCGGCCAGCCAAACCTACCAACCACAAAACATAAACAAAACATGGCACGCCTGTTCTCCCACCATCATGGCTGAAAGGTAATGTGTACATTGATGAATTTGATATTCCCCACTTGTGCTATGTCAGAGGGAGGCAGGGTGTTCAAGCAGACGGAAAGCCGGAGCTATTCATGGTTGGCTCCTGTTGGAAAAACTGACAAAGCCGCTGGTTAAACTTGAAGGCAAAGCCAACCAGAACAACATCCCAAACACAAGAGGAAGGGAAATACAAGCAACAGTGCCTGCAAAACAAGGGGTTCAGAAAGGGAAGCACGATAAACGACCACACAAAACGACAAATCTCAACACTCCACCCCACAAAACAACTCGTTGAAACTGAAAACTGCCCAAAACTCCACCAGGAAGCTTTGCAGCGGCTTGCTGGCGTAGCTCTGGCCCAAGTCTCCAGCGCCTCTGGGGTCAACAAATAGCTTTGTCTCAAGGGGCCAAAGGGCACGCCGAACCAATGGTGGGGTGGGTGTCCCGAAAATTGTTTCCCTCCAAAACCGTCCCAAGGTGCCGAGTTTGAGACACGCCAAATGTGCCCCGTTCGTGAGGAACAAGCACTTCGCAGACTTTGGATTTTTCAGAGCTACTTTTTTTTTGGTCGTGGCAAAACTCCCGGAGGGAAGGGACGATACAAGGGAAGGGAGTGAGCCTAATGCGAACCCCGGAATAATCCCATGGTGGATTAGAGGGCTAACCATTCTGGAGGGTTCCTTCACATCTTGGGGAAACACTGCCAAATATGTGCCGTGGTGAAACTCCCAGGATGAGCGTCATGGTCATGGTTTCCTTCGTAAGAACCTTTAGACTTTTGGTTTGTCCACGAAGAGGTGGACGAGTAGGGGAACAACACTGCGCCAGCCAACATGAAAAGCAAAAACAAACAAAAAGGCCCCGCTGGGTTTAAGTAGCGGCGCGCTGGACATGTTACATCCATGTTCCCCTTTAAAGAAAACCAGGAGCCAGGCGATTCCCGTGTGCCCCGCCTCCCTGGCGGATCTCCTCCACCAGGCAGTCCACGTAGCGCGCCACGCGGTCTTCGAAGGCCGCGGCCTTCGGCACGTCGATGGCGAAGTCGCAGTACTGACACCGCTGGCGGCAGAAGGGGATGTGCACGTACACCGCACCCACCGGCTGGCGCGGGCGCGAAAAAGGGGCCGGCGGGTTTTTCGGGGGAAATGCGGCAAGGTCAAGGTCAAAGGAGAAGATCCCCCCATCGCAAACTGGGCTGTCCGTTTTCAGGTCCCACGCGAAAAGTTAACAAATCTGAAAACCTAAGCAACCGGGCCGAGAACCTAAGGAACCGGGCTGAGAACCTAAGGAACCGGGCTGAGACCCGCCAAGCCCAAAGTGAACTGTTGCTTCTGGAAGCCACCCCTCACTTTTTCCCCAGTTTGATTCGAGGTGGGGCCGGCGAAAGGTGGTCAGAAAGCCGTGCAGCGAAAAGTGACCAAATCATCTAGCTGCTAGCTAGCGGGGAAGCTGACATTCTCAGAAACCAAGCGAAAGGTCAAATCGAAGAGACCAGCATGGTCATCTGGTAGTTTGGATCGCTTACCAGGTGAGGCTGTTGCCCAAAGGCTGCAAGTGTCAAGTGACTTGATCTCAAGTCAGCCTCCGGCCGTTCCGACACGGGCAATTCCGGTCCCCACCTCGATCTTGGTCATGTCCTCAGGGAAGGTCGAAACTCGCCGCAGCACGCGGCCCACGAGCGCCGCCCCCAGCCAGGCGGACCCCGCGAAGACCTCCTTCGTCCCCTTCAGACCACGCGCGCGCGCCCGCGGCCGCGGTCGCCCGCGCGATCGCCCGGCCGGGCCGAGCGGCGCGCGAGGGGCCGGAAGCGCCAGGGATGCCATGGCGTCATGGAAGCGGCCCGCGGGGTGAGGCCGCAGAGCTTTTGACTGAGGCCTCTGCAACTTGCGTTTGGTGTACCAAGCCGCATCCATAAAACGCCCAATCCAAAAGCCCGCTATGACATTCGTGGACCAGTGAGGTCATTCCATGTTGCGAAGGAAGCCGGGAGTTCAATACATCCTCACTGAAGCTTGTGGCATCGAGTCTCTGGCTTTTTCCGAGTGACAAATCAAGCCTTCGAGGCTGCGGTGAGACCATATCCTTGGCTTGTGCTTGTTGTTTTCTTGTGACACGAGAGACTGCTCCCAACCGGGCTGTTAAGACATCAAGGACAAATGCAGCAAATACATACTACAGAATCAATCCAAACGATGGCTTCACGGCAAACACGTTGAGCAACAAAACACAACCGCCTTCTCTGGAATTCTAATTGTTGATCTCCTAGCATGTTGCCCAAAACAGTCACTTGCTTCAAACACGCAGCCAGCACCACCACCAGTAATCGCTACTTGCAGTGACTGTCCTTAGGTCGGCGTCGGCTAGTCACCAACATACACTTGCGAAGCATGCCAAATCATGCCCACGGCAAGCCCAAAAGCATGCCAAACATAGGTCTATTTTGGACCTCACCAACCAAACAGGGCCATCTACTTTCCCTCACCAACCACCAAGGGCACCAAAACCTTGCCAAAACGCAAGGAAACCACGACGTCAAGCCTCGGTTTAAATTCTAGCAGTTAAGTGGTTGGATTTCCCACAAAACCACAATAAGCAAAATGTAAGAAACAACCACCACGTCCAGCCCCCCATCTCCCCATCTCCCTGCCTTTGTCCCTCTGGTGCCACCTCTGGCGCAGAAAGGAGCAGCGGCACACCCCACTCTCGAACCACCTGGCGGCTCGTTGGGGCTCTCACATCGCTTTTTGGGGAAAAATATCCTCGGTTGCTTTCTGCCCCCGGCGAAAAGTGACTAACTTTCAGTGGTTTAATCGCACGCTTGTTCGATCCTCGTGCCGTGACGGCCCGCTATATGCAGCCGGAGACACCTGACTTTTAGTGGTTTAATACGGAAAACCCATTTGTTGGCAAAAAGTCGTGAAATTCGATAGTTCGACAGCTGCAACCAAGAGGTACCTACTTCTGAACAACAACCTACGGATGCTGCTTCCACGTCGATGTGTGGGCTGTGACTTTCCAACCTTGACCTGGCGAGCCGGCCACGATCATCTACATTGTCGTTAGACAAGGTTAGCCTAGCAAATCACACCCGTCAAGCTGGCCGAACTGATCATTCACAACTCAAATTAGCAGAAGTACGAACTCCAGAAGGGCTGTCACGTCATTGCTTGCACCATGCTTGGGCTCCTTGCAAGAAAAACTCAGAAACTCAGACGACAACCGGCTGAAGAAAAAGGAAACCGTAGTTGTACTCCCCACGCCCTAAGATAACATGGAACCCAAACAACCCATCTTTCTTTGAATCTTGACCCGTTCCTTGTGTTCATTTGACAGTAACCAGGAGAATCCTCAATAATGGTTTTTTTTTGGTTTCCCTTTCAGCCAACCCCCCAAACTTGACCCAACTTTGGGCACTCGAAATCAGATGCTTGGTTGCTTTCATATTTAGTGCATCTGAACATATCACCATCGTACGTAGCTTCATTATGGGTTTGGCTCAAGGTATCTGGGTGTCTTTTCGGGACCCAGCCCATGGGTGGCTTCCCTTTAGCTTCAACCTTTGCCATCCACTGCCCTCGAAAAGAGGTGTGCCTCCCTTGATTCCATGAAGCTTTTTTGGAGATCCGACATCCTTATCAACATATGTCAAGGAGCAGCAGCCACAATGGTAAGACAAAACCGCTATAACGCAAGTGGATGTAAAAAAAGAAGTTTGCACAATGGGTGCAGTCTACCAATAGGAACAACAGCTGTAAAAAACTATCTGAGTCGACTCTGAGTACCACCTGCACTCGTCTGAGGGAAAAAGCAACAAACAAACATAGGGCTGTAGGTCACAACCCTGTTCCCCTGGTGAACATCCCAAAATCCCCACACAAAAAGTTTTGAAATGGGTGGGGAATTCACCTACCCAAAAATGGGATCCCATTGGTTTCGATCCACATCCATATGGGTATGGGTCAAAACTAACCCACCAAAAAAACCGCAGGTTTCGGCCCATGCTTCTACTTACCAGGGATCCATTTTTGGCACATATGTTTTTGACAACCACCGCCATTTTGGCCTCCCTTCTCGATCTACCCAAGGCCCAACTAAAAATTAGATGTACACAAGGAAAGCACATGTGGGTGGGTGTCACCTACAAAATGGTACTAGTACCTACCCCAAAATGGGATCCCATTGGTTTTGACAACGTCACATCCATCTTCCTCGCGCCTCGAGCCCCTCCTGGGGGGAAGGCATGGCGAGGCTCTTGCGGCGGCCCCGCACCACCACCCCGGAGATCCTCGCAAATCCGGTGGGGTCGTCGGGGTCTCAAAGGGCTCGGTTAAAAGCAAAAGGCGGAGCAAAAAAAAGCAAATTATTTTTGTTTTGTTCTTTTCGGTGAGTTCAAGGGAAAGTTGGAACCCTCTTTTGGTTGAGGCCGGGCTTTTTCGGGCTGCTTTGTTGAAGTTGTGTTCTAGTTTCCTCCACCTGGCCCCCTATTTTTGGTTTGGTGGGAACACACCCTTATATGGTAAGCCCTCAAATGGTTAAAGGGGGCACCAAAAGGCAAACTGACACCCGTTGGTGTCCAAATCCCTATTTTGACACATACCCTGACCCGCCTAAGACGTGTCTCTAAAGGGGGCAAGATCCAAAAAAACAATGAATGGATCAATGACTAAATGGATCTGCGTGGTGCAAACTTGAAATTAGAACAAACTGGGGTTCCTCCGCTTGACCCTCTTTTGTTTGGTGGGGAAAAGGAAGCCAAACGAAACAAACCCTGCAACACATACCCATCTATCTAAGTTTGTCTCCAAATGGGGGAAGATCCAAAATAACTGAATGAATCAACGAATGAATCGTTCTACGCGCAAACTAAAACGCACATCGGTTCCAAACAAGTGGCTCAAGCGCAAGGCTTCGATTCTCCCTACCTGAAGTTGCTGTTGTTTTTGTCACTGTTGCTGGTTTTTGGGGTAAAGTGAATGGAACAAAACAGCAACTGGCGATCCAGGTAGAAACCAAAGGGTGGGTGTGCGTCAAAAATAGGGTAACCCCAGAATGGAACCCTGGGGAAATGGAAACAAGGACTAAACCCTGCGGTCCAATTCCTTTGATTTTGATCCCAAGGTCCCATCTGGGGCTCCGGCTGTAGGCGCCAGCCTTCACCCAGCGAGATGCCGTTCTCGCAGCCTGCGAACGAACCGCCGGAAAAATACTCCCGTGGCCATCTTGGTTGGCCCTCTTCGTTGGTGTTCGCAAGAAAACTAAATGAAAGCACACATGTTTCAAGTTCTTGGAAACTAGGCTAGAATTAGGACCCCAGCCAATTAGGACCCCAGCCAAAAAATATTTCTTTTTTGCCTGGTTCGTGGAAAACCAAGGGACCCCCAATTCTGGGGAAGTAATGTTGGCCCCCGGATTAATAAATTGGTCTTTTTGATAGGGGTGTTCCCTTCAATAGTCATGAATCCCCACTAAAATGGCACCCCCCCCAAAAAAATGAAAAAGACAAGTCAACCAGGCAATTACTAATCCCATTCCCGAGGAAAAGGATGATTTGTGGCAAAGCACCAAGGTCAATTGCGGCCGGCCAAATCAGGCCGCAAAAAGATATGATTATGGTGTGGGCCAGTATACTTCAGATCGCGCGTCACATTGCCATTGGGTGCGTTCAGTTACGTTGTGCTTGGAGCGAGCACACAAACCCAGCAGTTTCCTGGATTCCTACCAGCATTTTTACAATCACAAAACCAGAATAAGGAATTTCGAATTGAGGCTGTTCATGGCCAGCTTGTTTCTTCCCGAAAGCGTTCCGTTAGTTCGGAAGACTCCTGTAACAAAAAACATTATTGAAGGGTTCAGCTCCTTGTGACGTATTCCCACATGATCCAGACACATTTCGTCAGGCGCACCAGCTGATTGTTCACTTGGTTGATGTTCAACCCCCAAGCATCGCCCACAACTGCTGCCTGGCTTGTTTGCACTCGGCTGCGCCATCTTGGGCAGAGCAAACCCTTCTTTGGCATCATGTGACCATTCAGCCTGGCTCTGAGATCCTCTTGCTCTACAGCAAACCTCCTACCAGCTGGTTCACAAAAAGAAAAAGAGACGGGCTTCGCTTCATCCAATGACCAGCCCCGCAAGGCTCTGAGGCCCTGAGGCTCTGAGAGCAGGGCCGGGATGGCTGCCAAGGTCGCTGACGTCCATCATCATCTGCGCATCCTGCGTGAAGCCTGCCGGACAGGAAAACCGCAGGAAGCTCGCCATTCTCCCTGCCTTGAGATTCCCGCAAATGGCTTTTGAGGGAGTCTTGGCGCGGGCTCCGGACATCTGAAACAAGGTCCAACTCCAGTCTGAATTTCACGTGCCTTTACACGGTATGGCCCATTCAGGATCTGTGGGAACACCTTTCGGGACACAACTCACTTCTTGCAAGGTGAGCCAGTAAGAGAAGAGAGAGCTGGCATGCACATGTACAGAAGTCTCAAAATGTGTGTTTCTCAAGATAGGGGTCCCTTAAACTGGTTGATTTATTCTATTTGTTGCACTTTAGATACCAACCAAAAAGGGGGTCCGCCACTTTGAGAAGCTCCCTGGATCTCAGGTGTTGGTGCTGTCGGCCGTCACACTCCTGATCCAGGAACCCTTGCGAGGGTTCCTGGGGGGGGGGGATAAGTGGATTCCTGTTATCCTTTTGGAACCATCCACCACAGAGTCTCAGTGTCTCTCAGTTCGGAAGCACAAATTCTGAATTGGGATGGGAAGGTCGGGTTTGAGGTGTGGATGATCGGGCAACATGTTGCCAGCGGCTGTCCCTGCATTAGACCAAGCTAGGTTTAGTACCAGTGTAGTATGTTTATTCGAACACGCGCTTCCACAACTCCAGCTGTAAAGTCGCAACTTTTCAGCACGTAGTACATAATTTGGGTGCCGGTGAGAAGATACATCTAATGATGATGAAGTGTTGTCAACGTGGGCCCTTGTTGGAACTGTGACATATTGTGATATTGTGCCGCCTTTAACTTGAGGTCACCAACACAGGCATTCCCAACACAAAGGTCATCCCCGACCTATTGCACCAGCAAGAAGAAAGGGTGCCTAGTTTCAGGAATCACCGGCAGCTTTCAGGCGATCCGGATGGCCTTGGATGCCCGACCACTCGCGCTTGGCGCAAACCGCTTGCAGCGCCTCCTGGGAATGCCGAGGCGATCAACCATAACCATGCACCATAAATGCATATCTGTGTACGATATCATAAAATACTATACTTATCAATATACTATGATATACTATAATGTACTATAATGTACTATGATTTACAATAACATGTAATAATACACTACACATTTATATAAAATAACATAATATGATATAGCATGACGAGTATAAGGCAAGATAATACAATACACGATAATATGACACACGATGACATAACACGGAAACACACTATAATGTGATATGACAGTACATAAACTCACCGTAACATATAATACAATAAAATCTAGTACAATATATACTGTAACAACTATAATAATTAATACACATACCCCGTTCAAAACAACTCTTGCTTGGCACCCAAGCGCCAAGTCCGGCAAACAGATTGGTCCTCCTGAAAAAACCCAAGACCAAGATGCAGTTGCCGCTCGTGAGTGGCTGGTATCCGAGCACACATTCTAGGCCTGACGTGAAAAACATGTCAGGGGAAGGTTCTTCCCTGGGCTGTTCGTTTTCAGATCTGCTAGAACTCCGATTTGGCCCCCACTCAAGCAACGAACCCCGGTCCTCGCGACGGATGTAGGCAGCCGCAAAGGTCCTCAAGGCGGCCGTGAAGCAACCGCTAGTCGTACACCAGAAACCCCTCCCCGGGCCTTTGACCGGCAGAGGAAGTCGCTGCATCCCATTTGTAGACAAACCAACTAGGTCCTCCAGAGAGGTTCGAATAGGGGTACACTTTTTGTTCAGTTTTGTCTATTTTAGTAGGGGAACCCTCCCCCAAAAAAGAAAGGGTAAAAGTTGGCACTACTGGGGGACCTAGCCAAAATGATGCCCTCCAAGACCCAAGGCATGGTCTGCTGTCGGAAATCCCAGACCACCATTTGCACTGCGTTTGTCAAACCCAAACAACCAAAAAGAACAAAACCACGTTGGGGGAAAAAGAACCATCCTTCGGGGCCAGGACAGAGAAACCCAGTCCGCGGGAAGCCAGAAGGTCGAAAAAAAAAAAAACGTCGGAAGGAGTCAAGTCTTGCGGAATTATCCTTGCAAAATCACAAGGAACCCCGAGAAGGGTCAGATCCCTTCAAGGCGCTGCACTTGACAATTTGGTGGTTTCCATGTGCATGTTCAGAGCTGGCAGTGTCAGGAATGGATCAAAGTTGCTTTCTCAGAGACGCCTTTCAAAAGACTGGACCACAGAGCAAAAGAGAAAGCAAATGGGAAGATTTGTCTGGGACAACCGCTAAGACTGGCCCACAGACCAAAACAGAAAGCCAATGGAAGATGTGTTGCCAGGTTTTCCACTGCAGACCCATTTGGGTATGGGTCAAAACTAAATCAAAGAAAGGAAACCGCAGGGTGTAGTCCATTTTCCTGTGTACCCTATTGTTGACCCACAGCCTATTGTTGACCCACAGCCATTTTTCGGGGGGCGGCAACCGCCCCGAAACACCAAAACTGCCGATCAAGGCTCCGCCCACCCCGGGTGACGTGGTGCGTGTTCAGCGGCTCCTGAAGCAGAGAAAAATTCCAGCCAGTCCCAGTCCGGTCACCTGGTCGAACGAACGAGGGGCTTGGCCAAAACAAAATAAAAAATGACCGAACTGCTTCTTTACCAAAAGGAAGTCTCAAGAAAGGTAAGTCCACTGCTTCTTTGAATACTCAAATTGGTCTTCTCAAAAAGGTAAGTCCTTCGAAATCAAAAAATCAAGAGGTGGAAGTGAACCTTGAACCACTGGGAAACCACGAGTATACAAGAGAGAAGAAAGGGCTTTGAAGACCGACTGCGCCCTCTTGGTTACTTCCAGAGGGGAGCCCGCCTGTTGCCGGTGCTTGACACATACCCAAACAGGGAAATATGGTGAGCGAGGATGTGTCCGAAATGTCCGCCAAAACTGGTGGATGTCCTGATGTATTGTGTGAGAATAACCAATAATTCACATCCCCGAACCACAAATCCAAACCACCAATTGAGAGTTGCCTGACATTTTGGCTACACAAATGGGGCGAAACCAAACACCAAGACTTGTTGGTTTACCCAAAAGAGCAAAAACACCACGGGGCATACCCTGGCTGGTTAATGATAGGACAGAACACCAGGAGCGCAGCGGTTCCACTCCCTGGCTCCCGAACCAACAGAAAAACCACCCGTAAACAAACCACCCACCGCAGAGGGCTGCCTACGGGCGATATAACTGGGATCCACCGTAGGACGCTTCGAGACCCTCACTTGCTGAGTGGATGGACCAAAAAAAAAGTTCGAACTTTATATTTGCCACTGAAATGGTCATTCCAAAAAGTTTAAAGTTCATGAGCTCAGGAAGTTAGGACCTCTACGTCGCCCGTCCACGCCCCGTGTCGCGCTCCGCGTTTTCGCATGTTTCGCCCGTCCTCGCAGCCGGCGTGGGCCCGAAGCAAGCGCCGCTCCACGCTGAAGAGCGCACGGTCCAACTCCACCTCCTCCTAAGGCGAATGTCCCGATAGTAAGACTCACTTCCGCACGAGGGTCTTGGCCGCCCCCGAAAAAAAAAACTCCCGAACTGTTGGTTTACCACTGAAAGGTCTTCCCTTTCAAACAAAATGGCCAACAAAAGCTCACGAACTGTTGGTTCACCACTTTAAATGGTCCAAGCCCAAAATGCTTTTCAAGTTCAGGAACTCGGGACGTGAGTTTCACAAGCCCAGGCATCCCCAACAGCACCGAATTTCCGGGACTGAAGAAAGCTGCCCCGCCCTCCCCGGTTAGGCTTCAAAGAGCAAAACCTTGAGAACAGCGTCCAAACAAATGCACTGCCCAGCGACCTTAAGGGGGGGGGGGGAATGGAGTGTAGCTCCCTCGAATCTAATGGAATTCCCAGAGCAGGTCGCCTCTGTAAATGATGTTTGTTGCGTTTCATGATTCCCAAAAGACCAGACATGGGGACGGCGGACGTTCTCTGATACGTGAAAGGGACACCCGAAATTGAAGGGATCGCCCTTTTGGAAAATCACTAAATTGGACAATCGGTTGGGGCCAAACAAAAAACTCACTGCCACTCCAGAAGGCTCAACATCGGCTTTGGAAGTGAGATGGGAACAAACCAGACAAAACCGTACTGTGGATGGACGATGTTTTTTCGCACCAGGTTACTGATGATTCCTGTCATACCAACAAGCGTTATGGTTTCAACTATGGATTCATTTCGTGGTCCACAGCACTGTCACTCCGGCTGCTTGCTCCGACACCCCGGTCCCAAAACGCAGTGAGCGCAAGGATGGCCGGCACGGATCGTCAGGGGAAAGCATTCCCATGGGCCCATGGCAGTTTCCCAGCTGAACATACCGGGTCTTCCAACACGTGCCAAAAAAATACATCGCTCCGGCGCAACCTCTGATTTCGGGAAAGCGGCCTTATGTTTTCTTGTTTTTTTGTTCCTCGTTTTTTCCCTCCACTGTTGCAAGCTCCCTTTCGCAATGCCCGCCCACTAAAACCCAGTAATTTGGCGAACCTAAAGCCAACAGCTGCAATCTGCTTGGGCTACCTTGAAACTGTGCTCCCGATTTTTCCCCGGAAGATTGCTCTGAGTCTGAATCGGCCTGTCCGCGTGACGCGTAAAAGGGATTGGAACCCCAAAAAGCAAGGTGCAAAGCAATCCTTGAGGACATGTCCCTACTCCCACTAGAAGGCACCTTAGTAAAGGAAACCTGGATGAATCATGATGAATAAACCCTTCAATTTTGCAGGGGAGGGTGTCCCCTTGTGGTTCATCACTTTAGGTTTAGGGGATCCCTTCTGATAGGATAGGTTCTACTTAGATCCTAGGTCAACCATGGGTCACTGCATTTCCCTTGAACAGTTGCAATCTAGTTGGTTGCCATTGAAACTGCCACATTTGCACAGGGCGGTGGGAAATGACCACTTCTGTGATACAACAAAAAGCACCTCCCAAAGACTAACCCCCCGTATGAATCCGGGGATTCCCTTGAAATTCTCACAGAAGTGGGGATAGATAAGCCCCGAGTGATCAACCGCATTTTTTTTGGAGGATCCAAAAAAAGGAAATGGAGGAAACCCCGTGGAAACGGGAGGAAACAACCAGGGAACCACAAAAAACGGGTGGAAACGGGAAGAAAAAAACGGGATCCACAGCACCAGCCCTTTGGAGGAACCCGCTGCCCGTTTTGTCGGCCTTCTCCACCTCCTTGGGGCGCAGAGCCACGAAGTGGCCCCCAAAGTGGACCTCAGTGGGCGGCCCGGGGGAGGGGGTGGGAGGGGGGGAGGGGGGAGGAGGGGGGGAGGGGGGAGGAGGGGGGGGAGGAGGGGGGGGGGGGGTTGGGGGTTTTGAACAAAGACAGCAACGAACAATGCGAGCAATGAGCAAGCGAGCAAAGCAAAGCAAACGACCAAACAGCCACCCAACCAACATCAAGTCAATAATCAAAGGCAGGCAGGCAGGAAGGAAAGGAAACAAATAAACAGACAGGCAAACAAACCAACATGCACAAATTCTGTGGTTTGATTGCCCGCGCCTGAACGCTGAATGCCCATCCTCCGATCCAACTCTACGCGCCGCAACTCTTCGATAGCAACACACCCTGCAGCGCCATGCATCAGCATTTCACAAAGGAACTCACGAACACTTACAAGTCTAGGGGACATTTCCACACTCTTTCCAAGAATCCTTCTTTTCAGAAAACCATCAGAACCCCAGGGGAAACAGCTGTTTTTTCAAAGAATGATGGTTGAAAATAATTGGGGAATCACCTCCTAGAACAACAGGCTGCTTCGCAATTGTTGATCAGCCTTGCCGGTTTCGTCCTCCAACTTTGGGGGACACCAAGTTCCCCTGCCTTCCCAAAGACATAATTTGGTATTGCAAGTACTGCATAAAATCACCCGGGCTTGCTACCCACCCTCAACGCAGGGTTCGAGGCGGTTCCCGGCTCCGAGCCGGAGGGGCAAACAAGTGCCTGGCCTAATCACTCAAGAGCTGATTGCTGCTGGGAATTATGAGATTGTCCACACTGCACAAAGATATTGACACTATCCCTAGTCAAGAATTTTTCCAGATGTTACAAGTCCACAATTCACTATGGTTTTTGGGTGGCTTACTTTCTGTATTCCAGGGTAAGGCTTTGAAGGGAAACCCACACCTTGGCCCCAGTCGGAAATGAATATGTTGGAAAGCACACAAAACAGCTACCTTAAATGGCCATGGGTTACCTCTGTTTTCTTCATTGGTCCAACCGGTGGGTGGTTTGCTCGTGTTTTCTTCAGGGACCCAAGCAGCGGGGCTAACGCACATGTGTTTCTCTTCAAGGACCAGGCCGGTCACATCATTCCAAGCATATGGTGCACGGCCGGGAGCAACCAACGAGCAATTTTCGGGAAGTGCACGTGTCATAGGTGACTTTTTGGAACAATAGATAGCCTTGGCAAATATGTAACCAAGCTAACCTAAAAAAGGACACCTATCGCCCATGTCCTTTCCTAGGCACCGAATCAAGCCCTACAACCAAACTAGGAGTTGACAGAACTAAGAACCCGAATCACAGGCTTCCTGAAATTTCCCCGCTTCACAAGGGAATCCTCGAAACATCAGGTCTTTCCAGCACTTGTTCTCTACTAGGTCCTCCAGTAAAGAGGTTAGAATAATTAAGGGTACCAACTTTCTTCCGTAGTCTATTTTAGTAGGGCAACCCTCCCAAACAAAAAGTTTGGTGAGACAAGGCACCTAGCTGGTGGACCTCGTTTTTCTCTACCTGGGCTCCTTTAAAGGGGCCCAGCCTCGCCTCGCCCCCAATTTCCGGGCCACCACCCGCCCGGTCCGCGCCCGGTCCGCGCCCGGTCCGCGCCCGGTCCGCGCCCGGTCCGCGGCAACCCGCGGCCTGGCCTTCTCGATGTTGTGACGCCCCGTGCCCGCGGGGATCAGGGCCAACGCCGCCCCCACGCAGTCCGCATGGGAGACCAGCACGAAGTTCCGGTGCACCGCGCTGCCGCGCTTCAGGTACTCCGTGAACCTGGGGCCACGGAGTACACGTGGACGGGGGTTTCCTTTTTTGGACCCAGAGGGTCCGCAGAGTACCCCAGAGTTACGTCTTTGGGTTTGGTTCGTTCGGGATTCGTCAGTTACAGATTCTTCAAATCCTCAAAGATGCCCTCTGGGGGAGTAGTGGTGTGGGTGGGTGTAAGCTTAAAGTGGCACAAAAAGGAGAAAAACTCCTTTTGGACCCTGGACAAGAGAGGAGGCGAACAACTTGCATTCGGTTTTTGGAGGGATAGCATTGTGCCAGTCTCCAAGGCGAAGACTTGCAGTCGGTTTGCTGGATAGGCGAGAGAGGCAGGGAATGAGAAATGAAATGACAATCTTACAAACCTGCAACTGGTTTTCTTAAAAGGAATGAGAAATGGAATGCCCTTAAAAAACCATCCAGCGAATGGTGCGCTTGAGGGAAATCCCTGGGTTCATTATTCCCTACTAAGCACCAGCAAGAACAAACATCGACGGTTTTCTTTTTTTGGAGTACTTGCCGTGGTGTGGTTCGTTTAAAGTGACACAAAAAGGAAAACCACTGGGGGACCCATGGTTCCCGCCAGAAAACCAAGGTGGGGTTTCATTTGGACCCAGAATGAGGCGAAAGAGGTTCATTCCTGGGAACCTTGGTGTACGTATATAGTTTCCAAAACATAGGGGCCGGGGTGCTGGACCCATTAACATGGCAAGGGCATTCTTTAGGATTCCTTTTGGATCCGTAAAATTGGTAGGTTTCCGTGGTTACAGCATTGTACATAACTTCAAAGATTGGGACACTACAGGAGCAGCAAATGGAACCTCAAGAAAAAAAACAAGACGATGGCAGTGATTTGTGCCATGTCCAAGGCTCGGTTTGCAGACAAAACACATCAATCAGACTTCTCCCAGTTTGAGACATAGATACGAAGATGGTCAGATGTAAAACAATTTGTTTGGAGATTTCTTTATATGATCATAGGCCATGATTGTACCTGTCGTGCAACTCAAACGGGTTGAGGAGTTCTATTCCTGTCACACAGTGAGGCCTCCAACATGATGCGATCTCGTACGCTGGCACTTGCGTTCCCCCAACCCCACTCACACGAAAGCGACAATTGAATTCACGCAAAACCGGTCACCAAACAACAAAAGGGTGATCAACCGATCAACATATATATATATATATATTATTTAAATAATGGGGGCAGAACCAACTCCAGTTCTTCAGCATGCAACTCTTCCCTTGTTGGGACATGCGAATGGGGAAAACACTTTGACCACGACAAAGCCACGGATCGCTGTACCAAAAGCTCCAATTCATCTTGATAAGTAAACATGTCAAAACACTGGACTCCCGAGATGGATTCATTCTGATACCAAGTAAAAGTATCTCAAAATGTTGACAACTCTCAAAATCGGTGGTTTCCCTTTCGTTTCCCTCCAAACCAAACCCAACACCAACCCTCAAAAAACCACACCCCCGGCTCCCTCTCCACCCTCTCCGCCCAAAAAACAAAATTCGGCGCGCGCCGGGGACGCTGGCAGCGGAAGCCGAGTCGCCGGTTGGCGAAGCGGCGCCGCGCCTCGCGCAACGTCTCCGGCCACAGCGGCCACTTGCCCAGCAGCTTGCCCACCTGCGAAGGACGCTGAAGGAAGCCGTGGGGGTGGGTTTCTCTCTTTGAGCGGAAGCTGGGCATAGGGGGAATTCTCTGCAGCTTTCGCTTTGCCGAAGAAAAACAAAAACAAGGTTGATGTTTGATCCACAGCCTTCTGAAAAATGCAAACCCATTTTAATGATCCATATGGGCTTGATGGATAAATCCATAGTGAACCTTCAGGTGCGAAATCATTTTTTACATATCCCAGGCCTGCCCTGGCAGAACGAAACAGAAGGAGCTGATTCGGCTCGGATCTGGGCTCGGGGGAGCTCCAATTCCTTCGCGCGGTTTTTTCAAAAGGACACCCAGAGAAACACCAGGCCATTGCGGTCGCCGAAAAATTCGAGACAAGCCCACTGCTGCCAAGCCGAGTCATCTAGAAGCAAGTGTACCGTGCCAGTGGACTTCTTGACGTATGTGCTTGCCGGCACAACAAGGCACACCACTACCATCTGGCACAAGGATTGCAGTAAGGCATGAGCTTGAACAACCCAACCATCCAGACATTTCCCCCTCCTTCTGCTCCTCCAAGTAATTTTTCTCACTGCACAGCAGATCCTAGTTGCGAATACGGTGGGTCACTGGGTCACCAGCAACTGTTTTTGACTTTTGGAGGCTGGTTCCCTCGCTGACCTAGTTGTTCTTCAGACCCTGGCAGAACAAGGGATGGATCCCTCTTTCTTAGCGTTGATCATGTTTAGTGGGCGGGGACGAGCAAAAGTTCGCTGAAAAGGGTGGGTGTATTCATGGAACTTGCAAATTTCGTGAGCCCCCCCTTGGCTTTTGCACCCAGGACCATAGGCCGGGACCTGTGACCATTAGACTGCGAGCGAAGAATCTCAGATGTCTTACAAAACATATATGCTAAACAAAGGGATTGGGAACTCCCAAAGCCAAGCGCGTTCCCATCCCCTCCTTTCCCTTTCTGTATCTCTCCCACATTGTGACGGTTGGGTGGTTTGGAAGTCGATCTGGCTTTGCCCTATTTTTGAGACACCCACATCATGGCCTCACTGAGTCACTGGGCCTCTGTATGGGTAGCTTCCCTTTTGGATTCTTGGCCGTTGTTCTAGGATTCCAGGGCCCCCCCCCACCAAACAAAAGGTTTGAACAACGGGAAACACCCAGTGGATTTCGGCTTTTGGTTTCCCTTTAAACACCACAAAAGAAAGCGAAACGGGTCCAAAAGATTCGGCGACACCCAAAGAAATCCCAAAAACTGGACTTCGCCCCGTTTTCCACCTTTGCTTTCCCTTGAAACGAACCCCCAAAAGCCGGTGGACGCCCAAAAGACGCCAATTTGCCCCGGGCGCGGCCCCTTCGGCGCGGCGGGGCCCCGCGGCATGACGCCTCCAGGCACTCCACGCCCTGCGCGCTGCAGAACTCCGAGGAGGCCGTCAGCGGCCGCACCGGGCGCAGCGGCTCCTGGCGCCCGGGCGCTTCGTCCGGGGGAGACCTCCCCGGGTGTACCCGGGCGAGCCCTCGATTTGGGTGTGGCTCATGGTCCCTCAAACCGCAGGTTTTGGCCCATGTTGCCACTTACCGATCGGGCAACCCATTTTGGAATTCCGGTTGTTTGAGCCGCAGCCATTTCTTCTACAAACATCACACCCACCAAGGGACACTCACCTTTCATGGGCCAAACAAGGTGATGTGAAAAACCGTCTGGTGAAAGGCAACCTCCTCTTGGAGTTTTGAAAAGGAAGCTATGGGTTTAAAACCCTTCCAGTTGCGTTTTCGCCTGGAAAAAGTGGGAAACTATGTTCAGTGGTTCGATTCCCTTCGACACCAAGGAGGGACTATCTATTCAACAAAACACATTCTTAAGCAAATGGAAGAACAGAGAGCAACTTGTGGGTTAAATACAGAAACCAATCACTAAACTAACTAAACATCTAAAAACCTAAGGAACCGAATGGCTGAGAACCACCAAGTAGGTGTGGTGGTTTTGTGAGCTATGGAATCCCGTCTAATTGAGGGTGTCGAAAAATGGCAGGAGGGGTGTCTTTCAAAGGAAACCCATGGATCGAAAACTGTCCATTTAGGGTGCCTGTAGAAATACTTCTGGGTATTTAACATGTTGACATAATGAGCCCCTCCATTTGGTCTGTTCTCTCTTGCTGTCCACTTAAAACCATCCCCGGTTTGAGACATGCTCATGTTGGTCTGGTTTCGAAAGTACCCCCCACATTGGGCTTCTGACGGGAAACCAACAGGAAATCACCCGTGATTGGAGGTTCCAATTTGAGACACACCCAAACGGCTCAAACGGACCAAGTTGACTTCATGGAACAGCATCCAGCCCCTTGCTTCCTTCTCACAAGAAAGGGAACGGGATTAGGCTGCTTGGCACCTAGGCCTCCTGTTCAGGACCCATTGTTTCCGCCCTGCTCCTGGTCCCCCATGATGCACGGGCCATAGATCTCTCCTGGCCATATGTCAGTCACGTGCGCACGCGCGCAGCAAGCGAAGTGATTCGCATGCAAGAAAGCAGCTGAGCCACAGTAAAGGACATGGGCAAACTAGGTTTTTGTCAGGTTGGTGCGATATTTAGTGAGCCCCCGCCTCCCAAATGGGCTATAGACAGCTGGATAGTTTGACCAGCAAGAGTGCACCTCAGCAAGTGCTACCATGGCACCCTGGCCACACCAGTGAAGCATACCATATCCAAACTTGCCCACAGAAGGCCGAGACTCTCATCAAATTGCCACCCTGAAGCACCCAACGAGTCCACAGCCAGGAGTCTCTTGGACCCTTGGACCTCGTTGCTTGCCCTTGAGTGCTCCTTACGTTCCCTTCCATCTCGCCATGCGCAGACCCCCCCTGATGCTGGGTCACAAGGGGCGCCTTGTGGTTGGCCGATTTTGAGAGGCAACCTCCTCCAACACAGGGAGCAACTCCCCTCCGAAAAACAAACATAGAACCTGCACGACATCCTGAAGTATCATCAACAGGAACCAAATCCTGTGCAGGTTCTATGTCTGTTTTTTTCTCTTCTTTTTTTCCCCGGGAGGGTGCCTAAAATTGTGGTCCTTTTGGCTTCCCTTTACATGAACAAAAGACACATCCATGTCTCAACCTGGGAGAACCCTTGTCGATCCGTAAGGGAAGCCAAATTCAAATGCCTACCATCGCTTTACAGGAAAATCATTTTGGGGAAGCCCCGATGATCTCCTTTTTTGAGGGTTCCTTTTTTTGGGAATTGGGCGGGTCAGGTCCCCCCAACAAAAAAAAACGTGGGTTTCTCATTGGTGTCCCCTGAGCTTCCCTTCAGGCTTCCCAGGTGTTCCCGATTGATTTTCTCAGAGGTCCCCGTGGGCTTCCCCCCAAAGGCACTGAAATTCAAAGCCATCAGGTTACAGGAATCAAGTTTTTTTGGGGAAGCCCCTACCAAAAGGAAAAAAAACACCACTTGGAACAAAAGCCTGGCCCCCCACCCCCCACCCCCCACCCCCCACCCACACCCCTCCCCCCCTCCCCCCTCCACATAAATCCATTCCCCTTGGGCCCCTTGGCCCCCGGGCCTAGGGAGTTGTCGATGAGGAGCCTCGTGCCCCGCACCTGGCGGCAGATCAGCGCCGCCGTCTGCACGCAGCGCAGGAAGGGCGAGGTCACCACCACGTGCAGCTCGCTGTCCTCAGCTCGAGGGAGATGGGGCTCGAGCTTTTCACCGGGGAACCGCAGGGCTCGGCACACGCCGAAAGACGAAAATTCCTACACTCCGACTAACATGGAAGCTCAATTAGAAGGCCTCTGTAAATATTGTTTGATGTATTCAAAGAAACAAATAAGGGCACAATAATGCTAAAATACTGTGGGAGATCCGGCATCCGTACTAGCTATAGTATTTTCCGAGTCTAGCATAAGTACTCTCACCAAGATGGCTAGACAGTATTTTTAGTGTTCTCCCACCAAAGTACGAAAATTCCTACACTCCGACTAATATGGAAGCTCAATTAGAAGGCCTCTGTAAATGGAGCCAAGTCTTGCAAAGGGGTGGGAGCTTCTATGTTCTGGGGGAGGGTAGGGAGATCCGCAATCCGTGGGACACCCCAGGACTTGGCTTAGGATTGATCTTGAAGGACCCAGAAGAGTCGACTCAAGCGGCTCGCCTTCTGAGCGGCCAGAAGCCAACTGCCTCGAAGAGCAAAGCAAAGCAAAGCCATATCCCTCACTCGCCCAAAGGACCTGTTTCATAAAAGGTGATCACCTTTTGGGACCTCTGAAAATAGACCAAAAAGGGAAAACCGAAAGGTCAAAAGGTCGGTTTTGAACAACTGAGATCCCCACTCTGGGCAGATACAAGTAATATCTTCCACGTGTCTGAGACTAGGCTCAGGCCCAGCCCAAGCAGCAACCCGCCTGCTGGCCAGGCCTGTCAGCTCAGCCCACCCAGCCTCAGGCCCAAGCTTGTCTGAAACAGGCCTAGCCCAACCACAACCCGCCCAAGCACGGCCCCAAGTCATCCAGCAAGCCCAGCCCTGCCCAGCCCAGGCCCCAGCGCATCTCAGGGCATGGCCGGCCCCCAGCTCCCAGCCCACCAGCAGGCTCAGCCCAGCGTGCCAAGGTCAGGTTTGTCTAACGTGTCTGAGACTGGCCTCAGGCCAACGACCAGTCTCACGTAGCCATAGTTCAGCTCAACCAACAACCCACGCAAGCAAGGTCCAGCCAAGCTGCCCAAGACTGATGTGTCTGAGACTAGCCTGTGGCCCAGCCCAACCAGGCGAGGCCGGCTTGTCTGACTTGTTTGGAGCCAGCTTCAGGCCCAGCCCAACCAGCAACCCGCGCGAGCAAGCCATAGCCCAGCCCACCCAAGACTGATGAGCGGAAGTCTGGACCCTGTGTTTTTTCGATTTCCGGGGTTATCTACTGTCAGGGTCTTGAAAGGATCTTGCTGGGTCTTAAGTGAAGCCCGACATCCTTGTCCACTCGACCCAGCTTTTTTTTGATTTCCGGGGTTATCTTCTGTCAGGTTCTTGAGAAGACCTTCGTGGGTCTTAAGTGACGACTTGACTGACTGCCCATTTGTCTGGCCCCTGCAACTGTCCCGACAGTGACGGCGGCGCCCTGCTTTTTAGACAACGGGTTTGAGTCTGTGGCACGGGTCAACTCGAAGGGCGGTTTCTTGAGCGTGGGCCTTCCTTCGAAATCCTTGAGTCCGGCAGCTACTAGGTCATCCAAGCCGAAACTCAATAACACACTGAACACCTGACCTGGTCTAACATAAACGGCTGCCCAAACACAGCTTGCTTGTTTGCAACCCTGCTCGACTTCCGCCGCCCTTCTTCGGCGTGTCGGACACCTAGAGAGAGAGAGAGAGAGAGAGAGAGAGAGAGAGAGAGAGAGAGAGAGAGAGAGAGAGAGAGAGAGAGAGAGAGACACAAGAGCTCCCCAACCCCCTCCCCCACCAAAATTTTGCCGGCCCGCCCCCCACTGAACACCTGACCTGGTCTAACATAAACGGCTGCCCAAACACAGCTTGCTTGTTTGCAACCCTGCTCGACTTCCGCCGCCCTTCTTCGGCGTGTCGGACACCTAGAGAGAGAGAGAGAGAGAGAGAGAGAGAGAGAGAGAGAGAGAGAGAGAGAGAGAGAGAGAGAGAGAGAGAGAGAGAGAGAGAGAGAGACAGAGGACACCAGACAGAGAGACAGAGAGACAGAAAGACCCAGAGACAGAGAGAGAGCGACACCCACCTTTTTGCTTCTTGCTGCGCTTGCTTCCTACCCCAGCAGCTCCTCGGCCGGCCAATCCCTGAGTTTGCCTTCCAACCTTTACCAAAAAAAAAGCTTGCGTTTCAACTTTACTTCAGCCTTTCGCTAACCTTTCCACAACAATTGCTCATAAAAGCCAAGGGGCTTGCAGCCCACACATCTTGTTCACTACCACACGGGCCCGGCGCTTGCACGCAACCTCTAGCCAAACTTCTTCTGGCCGGCAATCGCCTGCTGAAGACACTTCGCTTGCCGAACTCCCGCCGTCGTCCGACGCTGCGTCCATGTCTGCGCCGGCAAAATCTGACGTTGCATTCGCCTCGGGGGGCTGCTGCGGAGCTGCGACTCCGCAGTCACCGCCCGCGCACTCCGGCTCGCAGCCTGGCACCGAAGCTTCTGCCGTCTGCCTGCTGCCTGCCGCCGCCTGTAGACCTTCCACAGCGCCCGCATCGAGTTCGCTGTCAGGCTGCATCTCCTCCAGCGAACACATGTTAGGCAGCCCTTGTAACACGTCCCGCGGCAGTAGGGCGTCGTAGTGCACGCCGACGCCTATATTGCTCACGTGGTTGAACATTCGCAGCTCCCTCCGAGTCCGTGGATCCTGCTGGGCTTCAACCAGCATCACAGCTGCTTCTTCAGGTCGAATGTCCTCGCTGTCAAACCGCGTGTACACGACTAACTGCCACTCCTCAGCCAAAGCGACGGGTACGCGAAACGAATCCAAGAAAAAGGTGAATGCGAGAGGCGCGTGCATGTCACTTTGAAGATACGCCTGCGCGTGTTCCTCGTCAGTCGCAGCGAGCACGCGACCCTGTGCGTCTCGCTGCTTTGGCCGAAGTCGTTCTTCGACGGACTGCGTCAAGTGCTGCCTGCAGCGAGAACATGCGCGGCTGCGGGCCACGCTATCGCGGAGCAGCGCTTTGTCAAGCAAGCCTGCTCCCGACATGCACAAAAGCAGCGCATCCAAAAGGCAGTTGTTCCTGCCGTGCGCCGAACTCGGGCATAACTGCAAGCCTGCCGCAGCAAGCTCTTCAATGCGCGCCTCGTTGGTTTTCAAGCATTGCGGCGCGTTCGCCGCATGGATGCGCAGGAACCGCTCGACCACGGCAGCACAAGACTCTGCAGACTCTTCTTGCGCATCCAGCCAACCACGCCAAGTGCTCACCCAGTCTTGTTCCAGTAACCGTTGCACTTGTGCCGCTGAGCCTATGGCCTCAAGAAGTATGCGTGCCGCGAATGGTGGTACTTGCATGGGCGCCGATCCTGCGAAGTTCGGATTGTTGCTCTTGTTGTTGCGCTTGTTGTTGTTGCTGTTGTTGCTCTTGTTCTTGATATTGTTGTTGTTTTCTTGTTGTTGTTGTCGTTGTTCTCGTTCTTGTTGTTGTTGTTGTTGTTGTTGTTGTTGTTGTTGTTGTTGTTGTTGTTGTTGTTGTTGTTGTTGTTGTCGTTGTCGTTGTCGTTGTCGTTGTTGTTGTTGTTCCTCCCGAAGCGAGATAACGCCGCGCTCTGCATCGTCACAAAATACTGCAAATCGCAGTGCTTTTCAGCTTCGCACGCAAAAAACACCAGTATTTGCGGCGTTCTGGCGCTTCCCGTTTCTCCCGTGCAGCACGCGCTGAAAACATCGCAAATACCAGTGTTTTGTTGCGTCACTTGCGCAAAATACTGTTAGTTACACATCAGCACGGCGCACATGCCTGGCACATGATAAGCACGCTCACGTGAACTGTGTCAGCGCCTACCACCTGGTAAGAACACCCGCTCACGTACTGTATCCACACCTACCACCTAATAAGAACACCGGCTCACGTGCGCCCGCTCAGCACTGCATCCACGCCTACCACCTAATAAGAACACCCGCTCACGTGCACCCGCTCAGCAGTGCATCCACGCCTACTACCTAATGAACACCCGCTCACGTGCGCCCGCTCAGCACGGTATCCACGCCTACCACCTAATAAGAACACCCGCTCACGTGCGCCCGCTCAGCACGGTATCCACGCCTGCCACCTAATAGGAACACCCGCTCACGTGCACCCGCTCCAGCACTGCATCCACGCCTACCACCTAATAAGAACACCCGCTCACGTGCACCCGCTCAGCACTGCAACCACGCCTACCACCTAATAAGAACACCCGCTCACGTGCACCCGCTCAGCACTGCATCCACGCCTACTACCTAATAAGAACACCCGCTCACGTGCACCCGCTCAGCACGGTATCCACGCCTACCACCTAATAAGAACACCCGCTCACGTGCACCCGCTCAGCACTGCATCCACGCCTACCACCTAATAAGAACACCCGCTCACGTGCACCCGCTCAGCACGGTATCCACGCCTACCACCTAATAAGAACAACACCCATGCTCACCCGCTCGTGCACCAGCTCAGCACGGTATCCACGCCTCCTACCTAATATGCACCCTCTCATCCAGCACTGCATCCACCCGCTCACCTTGCACCCGCTCAGCACGGTATCCACGCCTACCACCTAATAAGAACACCCGCTCACGTGCACCCGCTCAGCACTGCATCCACGCCTACACCTAATAAGAACACCCGCTCACGTGCACCCGCTCAGCACGGTATCCACGCCTACCACCTAATAAGAACACCCGCTCACGTGCAACCTCTCAGCACTGTATCCAGGCCTACCACCTATAACAACACCCGCTCACGTGCACCCGCTCAGCACTCCACGCCTACCACCTAATAAGAACACCGCTCACGTGCACCCGCTCAGCACGGTATCCACGCCTACCACCTAATAAGAACACTATCGTGCACCCGCTCAGCACTGATCCACGCCTACTACCTAAAGAACACCCGCTCACGTGCACCCGCTCAGCACGGTATCCACGCCTACCACCTAATAAGAACACCCGCTCACGTGCGCCCGCCTCAGCACGGTATCCACGCCTACCACCTAATAAGAACACCCGCTCACGTGCACCCGCTCAGCACTGCATCCACGCCTACTACCTAATAAGAACACCCGCTCACGTGCACCCGCTCAGCACGGTATCCACGCCTACCACCTAATAAGAACACCCGCTCACGTGCACCCGCTCAGCACGGTATCCACGCCTACCACCTAATAAGAACACCCGCTCACGTGCGCCCGCTCAGCACGGTGCATTTGCTTGAAGTGGTTCTTGTTCGTGCAAGACATCCCCTTGGTTGAAACTTTTTTTGGGGGAAGAGCAATCTTTTTGTTTGTGACAAAGTGTGGCAAGACACATGTGCTGAGGCGGACATGTCATCCCTTGACCAAACCAACCCCTTTGTTGAAACACTTTTTCCAGGAACCTGATGTTTTTTTGCTGAAAGGGTTGTCGCAAACCCTCGATTTTTGCAAAAATAGAGTTTTCACAAAAAGCTATTTTTGATGGATGGAACAGCGAAAAACACCGCTATTTGCAGGGTTTCGTGAGGTTTCAGCTAGCTTGTCCCTTCATGGCCGCGGCATTATGTCGGTTCGGGGCGTTGTTGTTGTTGTTGTTGTTGTTGTTGTTGTTGTTGTTGTTGTTGTTGTTGTTGTTGTTGTTGTTGTTGTTGTTGTTGCTGTTGTTGCTGTTGTTGCTGTTGTTGCTGTTGCTGCTGTTGCTGCTGTTGCCGTGCCAGTTACTGTGCCTGTTTCTTGTTCTGGGACTGCGCAGCTTGTTTCTGCGGCTTGAGCCTCCGAGACACTGCCCGTGTCACAACTGCAACGCCGACGCATCTCCATGCCCAGTTTCCGAGCCCAACTGGTCTCTGCGACGCAGAACTTTTTTCACGTGAAACATCACGCCATCAAGTGTCCGGACGTACTGGCGAGTTTGCGACAAGCGAAACACTGGCAGCACGGCATCTGTTTCACGTGCTACCGACCATTCCGTGGTCGTGGTTTAGCGCACGCCGAGCACGGTGGGTACGCGCATGCCAAACACAGCGTACCTGCTCGATACTGTCCTCGCTTGCCGCTTTGGCCGCGAGCGCCCTGCATGCAGGCACGGTGGGTTCGCGCGCCCTTCTTAAAAGCCTGCACAGGCACGCGTGTCTCGCACGCGCGACATTGTTGCTCTGCTAGCTGCAAGTGTTCGGTCACTTGCTCACACACGACGCACCGCATCCAGCTGAGCTCCTGTCGTCACGGACAAGCGCGTTCCTCTCCCATGCACTCCTTTTGGTCACGCGACAGAACGCCATCTTGCCCCGTTCCGTACCCTGGGGCCGGCACCGCGCTCGCGGACCGATGGTCTTGTCCCGATCCGTGGCCTGGGACAAGTGCAACCTGCCGCAACGCGCGCCCTGCCCCGGTCCGTGGCCTGGGGCAGGCACCGCGCTCGCAGTGCGAAGATCGTGTCCCGATCCGTGGCCTGGGACACGCACACTCTGCTGGTACACGCGCCTTGCCCCGGTCCGTGGCCTGGGGCAGGCACCGCGCTCGACGTCCGAAGATCCTCTCCCGATCCGTGGCCTGGAACAACTAGAACCTGCCGCAACGTGCGCCCTGCCCCGGTCCGTGGCCTGAGGCAGGCACCGCGCTCGCCGTCCGAAGCTCGTGTCCCGCTCCGTGGCCTGGGACACGCACACTCTGCTGGAACGCGCGCCTTGCCCCGGTCCGTGGCCTGGGGCAGGCACCGTGCTCGCAGTTCGAAGATCTTGTCCCGATCCGTGGCCTGGGACAAGTGCAACCTGCCTGCCCCAGTCCGTGGCCTGGGGCAGGTCCCGCGCTCGCAATCCGAGCTCTGACTTGTTGGTCGTGGCCCAGGACGAATTACATCTAGTCTCCGAAGCATGCGATATGAACCCGTGCTACTTTTTACTCATAAGCTTCCGTCGCGCTTCCACAAAGCTTCCGCGGACCAACCCTACACTGAGTTGCTGGTAACCTAGGCTATAACTGTCTGACAGGTGGTCTTCGTCACTCGTCACATTGGGAGCCACCCATAACCCACGCTCTGCGCCCATGTCGGTCAGTATTGTGTAAATGTTCGAGCAAGTAACTGGTAAAGACGCGCTCTCCAACTGAAGGGCAGATGTCAAACAGCGAAGTTTGTGCATGGTAGTGGTGGCCTTGTTCCCCAGGACCTGTAATGGGAGCAATCTGACCGAAATCCCATCTGCTATTCTGAATAAACTGTGTTGCAAGGCAAACGAGTCGGTGCCCACGATGTCCAACTCACACACGCAATACTCTTTGGAATACTGCGGGCTAGCATCAATCCTCAAATGGGACACAAACTGGCCGTTTGCTCGCAGAAGAAAGTCTCGGCAAAAAATCATGGAAGCCAGGTCCACGGAAATCCGGTTTCGGAGAACTGTGTTTTTTGATGGCGTGCGAAACTCCTGCTGGCAAAGGTGGTCGCGTAGTTGCTCGTGTAGCATAAGCCTCAATGAGGCCACTGCTGTCTCACGCAGACGAGAAATATCACGGGCCTCATCAGCTAGCAGGACCGTTTGCAAAACGTGTCCAGGAGAATACTGCCAACCCCCCTTGGCCCGCTTTTGGCGCCCACTTGTGACAACCAGTGTTGCTTGCAACGCTGAAAGAACTGACAAAGCCCGTGCAACATCTTGACATTGCACAGCGTCACGGCACTCCTGAAAAAAAGCGCCAATCTCTGTCAATGGCGATGCCTGTGGTTGGAGAGCACCAACCCCAACAACCCTTTGATGTGTTTCCCATGGAACAGCGGCCCCCTGCATGAGCAATCTGAAGAGGCTGTCATACTCACGCCAATTGTCCAGAGCAAGGGGACACTCTGCACCTAAGACCTGAAGCCGCGCGGCAGTAGCTGCCAATGACAAGGATTCACCGTCATCAGCTTCAATAATGAAATTCCTTCTGATCTGAGAGACATCAGCCTGCAGCATGCGGGACAAATTCCGCCGGCCCTTGCTTGGTAGGTTGGAGGTGTGGGGAGTTGCGAATCTTCCATGCAGAAGTAGTCTTGCGGGGGAGCATCTTGAATCAACGGCTGAGAAGGACACAAATTTGCTCGCCGCAATGTGGAAAACAAAGCACACGTCGTTTGGCAGCGCGATGCCGGCCCGCTGGCGGCCTCCCTCTGCCATTGGCCATCGACCGTTCAGGTAAAGCAATCAACGTGTTGTTGATCGCTGAAGTGGTTTGGTGTAAAGTTTTTGTTTTTTTTTTCGACTGTTCATGCTGACCTCTTTCATTGGTAGCTGCAGCGCTGCCAGCGCTGCCAGGCAGAGCAGCAAGTGAATAGTTTCCCCCATGAGTGTGGGTCATGTCACGACTCACGACTGCCTGCTGCTATTGAAACGGAAGGTTTGAGCAGCTGAACACGCCCAGAACTCAGACTAAACAATCATAGTCCGCAAAAACAAAAAAGCCCAACATCATCCTCCTCTGAAACATCACAGGCATCTGCTGCAAGCTGCGAGGGGTCAGGGAAATCTCGCTGATCTCCAACTACAACAAGGTCAACCGCCAACCACTGTTGATTGAACCCAAGGAAACAAAACCAAACTGCAAATCAATGGGCTGCTTAGGAGACGCACGGACGTCAGATTGTTTTGACGATGCAGTCCACACACTCTTCTGAGTGGGTCTCTTGCTTACCCCGGCCCCAACCACCATGATCAACCTGTTCAGCTGCAAGTCCAGCGAATCAATGGCCGCGAAAAATCATCTGGCCAACAACCTGGGTCCACTCGGTAGACAGCCACCTCCCACTGGCAGGCACAGTGCAAACACAACAGGAGGGCAAGCCGCCGCGAAAACATCCGAGCCCGCCGAGGATTGCGAAAAGGGACCCGGAAAAGCTGCTCAGAACGCCCGCCAATGGAGTGACCCAGCACCACCAAAAACATGGCTAGCAGCGGTTTGGCGATGAAACCGTCTTGAGTGACTCAGCTGCCGTGACAGGATAGGTTGGGCGGCCGACTCGATAAAGCACGACAGGCCTCGAACGTCTCAAGGTGAGTCGGACAGACTGCAACACATCGCAAGGAATGAGTTAAACTTTCCCAACTCAACGAAACAAATCGTTTAAGTCTGACACAGAAGGAACACATGGTCGTTGCGCGCAACACGCTTCTTGACCCCCTTTAAGATAGCTGGCGGGATTCCATAGCTATAACCCACTTATCAACTCTGCGGTTAACCTTGTTAGAGTATGACATACCCCAAGCGGCTGACCGCTTGACTGCTCGAGTCGAACACCCAACACTGGATTTCGGTGTTCCTGACCCTTCCCTCAAACTAGGCTGGGCCGAGGCGGGCAACGCCAAGCGTTTACAATTAACATGGAACCTGACAGGGGGTCCCTTTAAAAGGATAATTGACTTCCAGGACCCCCCCCTGATAGGTTCATGTTAATTTGGTTGGAGGGTAAACCAATACTAACCCAGCGGGTTCTGGCCCACCCCAACCTCAACTGCAGCCGTGTTGGGGCTCCCTACCAACCGAGGCTAATACACAACTCCAACAAAAGTAGCCTTGAAATTGACACGTTGGACGATGCTTGAGGCCGGGAGGGGGGAGGGGGGGACCCCATTTGAAGCATCAAGGAGGACCGAAACTGGAGCAGGCCCTCCATACAAAAAGACTGTTTCCTTAGGTCGTTCCTCTTATATTTGGGGGGCAAATTATTGACAGGCAGGGGCTAAGGTGTATTCCCTGAATGTTTCAAGGAGAAATCGGAAACCAACCATGTTGGCCCTCCTTTGAATCTAAGACAACCCTCAACAGCCCAACCGTTTTCTCGCAGCTCCGTGACGGAAAAGAGATGCGTCTCCGAAGCCGAGGTGCCAACTCTTTCAGCGTCCTCTGCAGGGGCCGAGGTGGCACATCTTGGAACTGTGGATGGACAAAAACAACATCAGGAACCGGTTGGCAGGCAGTTTTCGCCCCTTACAGGGGTATATCCATACCAACTGGTACTGGATTGTGTGACGTCCTGCTTGAGCGATTTCACCGGAAAACGATGTGCAGAGGAAACAAGTTTCCGAAAGAGGTCCGTATACTTCCATGTTGGTGGCAGGCCGCCAACTCTTGTGCAGGGTCTCCCCCATCAAAAGTCGTGGCGATTTGTGTAAACCCCCTAGTTTTGGAAGACTGCTTTCCCTTTTCGAAAGGGGTCCTACGCACTTCTATTAGTTGTTGGAGGATAATCCAAGTTTGCACCGCGCTAGCGTCCTAGCGCCAATGTCATTGATCACTTTCGCTTCAAGCAACCTCGAACATCAAATAGGAGATGTGTGTCCACCAACCCCTTTGCAGGGTGAATCAAAAATTCACAGCCAAGCAGCGCCCAAAGCCTGACGTTTGGGTTGGTAAAGGTTGATGTACCCTAAGCCAAGCGCCACCTTCTCAACCGGCAATCTTTTTCGGGGTTCAAGATTGAAGGTTTTGGTACTCCATGAAGCCAAGTCTAAGTACCACCTACTCATCCGGCAACCTTTTGGCTTGGGGGGGTATTGGCCGCCGAATTGTCGAATCAGCATCGGTCAGGGCTGTAGGATCACTAGCGGTTTACCTATCCCCACTTCTGTGACACTTGCGGGAATCTGCCCCTCTACGAGGTTGTTCATTTATAGCAACCTTCTTGAGCGATTTAACAGGAAATCGACCGCCTGAGGGGTCCTTGTGTCGTGATGCCTTCGGGAATCTCCCCTGTTATATGGGAGGTTAGTCTTTTGGGAAGCCCTGTTCTAGGGGTTGATTCCATTTCCATTCTTTTCAGCCATCGTTCTTTTCAAAAACCGATCGCCATTTCCCCAGGGTTTTTGGTGGTTTTCCAGAAAGATCCGGATCCCTGGAAGGAAGGAAATGGAAGCTAATGTAAGCACACACCCAAATGGGGTTGCCTCAAAATAAGGGGACCCCAAAAATGAACTTGCGTGTTTCGACCCCTATTTCCCCAGGTTGGTGGTTTTCTAGAAAGATCCGGATTCCAGGAAGGAATGGACAAAATGGAAGCTACCCCTGTCGGTTGTATCACGGCTCCGCGGATTCGGATTCCATCGGCATCGCTCCTCTGCAACTTCTGAGGCGCCAACCAAAAGGGGATTCCCCCCCCCAAAACAAAAACAACCTATAGATTCCCCCCCCCCCAAACAAAAAACAACCCATAGGAAGCTCCTGGTGGCCGCCGATTGGTCGACGCATCGCTCCTCTGCAGCTTCTGGCCCAGCTCCTCCGCCGCCACCAGCCCCGCATCGCTCAACGGGGGGTCGTAGGGCCACTGCTGCGAGTCCTCGGGAACCCGAACCCCCGGCACACTGAGCCCAGGTGAGCGGCCGCCAAAACCCAGCGACCTGCTGGTTTTCACCGGCAAAAAAACGCGGAAAACAAGGTTGACGGTTTTTTTTTAAACATGAAACACATGTTCAACTCTTGGTTTGAGCAATTTTACCATGGGAAAAAAAAGGTTGATCACGGAAACTGGCCCTAACACCAAATCGATCTTCCCCAGTGGAGGCGGCGGCATCCCACAAACTTGGGGCAGCATTTGGCGGAACATCGGGGCTCCGTGGGAAAGGGCCGCCATGAAGCCCCAAGGCCACAGTCTGGGCGCCTCAAAGCAATGGCTTGAACTTATGAGCAAAACGCTGCAATAATCACCTTCTTGCTATCCCAGGGTTGTGGGATCACTCGGGGTTTCTCTATCCCCACTTCTGTGATACTTTCGGGAATCCCCCTGAAAAATGAACAAAATAGTCGTTGGGAAGCCCTTTCTGTTGTATCACAGTGGTCATTCCCAGCCCCGTATCCCAGTAAATGGGACCAAAGCAAGGATGCAAAAAAACAGTTTCCCCAACCATGCCTCAAGACTTGAGCTGTTTGTCTCTATTTGTCAGTCTTGGCCAGTCTTGCAGGACGCCCCTCGTCTTTTGTCACCACGGCGACTGCGGTGTCCTATTTTGGTTTGCAGCTGGATAGTCTCACGTTGGGGGCGGAGCGCTCCTCACATTTCAAAGTCGAGGGCCAATCTGACTCAATCCCTGGGAAATTACAGCGACCGTTCGAACCCAAGGCAAGCAGTAAGGATTGCCTTACATTTGCTGAGGCCCAGGGGCATTTAAAGGAAAACCGAAGGGATACCCGAAGAGAAACTAAAGGAAAACCGGGGGCCCCTTGGTGGACATCATTCACATGATTCATATGGGGGTTATGCCTATTCACCATTTCGAGAATGTTCCGCCTGAAACATCACCAAGGAAAATCAAAGCAAGGTTGGCCCGAAAGGGGATGTTCAAACTACCCCCAACATGGGAAATGCGGGCGGGGGGGGGGGGGGTGATCAATATTCCTGGCCCCAAAATGACCATGGGCTGCTTTCCCCATTTTGTGAACGTCATCTTTTTGGGTGGTTTCCCTAAGGGTCACCCAAACCTTTTGCGGACTTCTGATCAACCCCCATAGAAGGACTCTGTGTCCCGTTCCGGAGGCGCCTGCATCAAGCACCAGGGCAGCCCCTGCACCAGCGCCCCCACATCGTCCGCACGCTCTGCGTGGCGGCACACTGCGAGGAACTGCAGCGGGGACCGCTCCATTGGATCGAAGCGAGGGACCCAATCTGATGGGTCGAGGGGCGCCAAACTGATCTGCAGTTGGGAGGGTCGAGGGAGGAATTCGCAGATGACTGCTTTTACTTCATCCGGCTGCGAATCCTGCTTCTGCGGGACCCAGCCTGTTTCTGGCTGTTACAAGGGCTTCACAGCTCGTTTCAGAGACTTTGGGGGCTTCCTGACATTGGGTTTGTGGCCGGCGGGTTTGTGGCTTTCCTTACCGGGAATCAAAGATGATCTAACAGCCTCCCATGTCTACTCCTTGGAGGCATCCGTCAGGACACGTCTCACCCGCGCCCATGGCATATGTCTGAGGCAGCTGAGCCGATAATCCGATAGGCAAGCAAGCGAGTGAACAGACGAGTCGGCATGCGCAAGGATTGGTGTATGAAACATCCATTGGTTAAACACCCAAACCAGACAAAAACACCCTTTCTAATACAATAGGACCATGCAGTGAGGATGAAGCCTATCCCAATGGGTTCTGAGTGCACCGGTGTTATCCATGGCTTCCAACCTGCACTCAAAGACTTCACCAGAATGGGTTCAAAAAGGTCTATAACCTTCAGGATATAGTGATGCGATGGTCATAAGTACATATCAAAGATCATACTACATATATGAATCTACAATATACATTTGCGTATGTAAGAATATATCATGCCTTTGATGTCAGTGGTCCGTTCATGTTCCCACTGAAAAGGCGGGGTCAAAGGCAACCCTCTGAGAGCTGGACATGTGTCTGACTAGCGTACCCTGCGAATAGCAACCGTTTTACGCTGGTGTTCGTTGTGAACGTTTGGGCCCAGCACAGGATCCTTGTCATGTTGGTGCTGCCTCTTAGCCTGGTTTCTGACGCAGGGGTCCCTTGTATGTCCCCTAACATCACGAAAAGAAAGCTGAGTCTCCGAATGAGCCATAAAGATGATGACTCCAACCAAGGAACGTCGTGTTTTTGTTGTACCTTGATAACACCCTTGGGCTTGGTTAGCGACACCGAATGGCAACCAAACACCCGACACCACCACCCCCTTCCCCATCTTGGAGGTTCCGGCGTTCAAGATGTCCTGGGTGTTCGCGTCGGAAAACGTGTCACATGGATTTCTAGACTGAAGCCCTAGGTGCCACAGAGCAAAACAAGCGGTATCGCCAGCCTCAAAAAACCCATAGCTGTCGCTCGTGGGGAAAAGACAATAGTATACGTACCAGTCAAAGCAAATAACTTCTATTTGCTTAAGCCGCCTGGAAAAAGTAAACATATTTCCAGTAGTGATAGATTCCCTTTAAAACCAACAAGGGGAGATAGCAACATACTCTTATGCAAATGGAAGATAACCTTAAACACCAACAGTAACAAAGCAAAGCCCAACATAAGGAGGAACACTCTGTGAAAGCAACTGGATCATCACGGTTGGCGGGCGCAAAGCCCCGGTAGGCGGAGTTGCTATGATTGGCCTGACTAGGAAAATTCATAGGATCTCGGCCATTTTGAGTGGTCAAAAAAGATTCTCTCTCTATGTATATATATATATATTCTCCTGTAGCAATACCTCGGAGCTAGGCGCTGGTGATTGAAACGCGTCTTCTATCGGTCGCTTCATTTCGCGTTACCGGCGTCATGCAGAAGCATCCTGACTGTACCCCGGTGGTTCCACGTTCCCTTGAGCATGGCGTGTCTTGTGCAGGACTGCTTGCGTTGCTGGTGGCGCAGCAGGTCGCATGAGCAGCCGGTGGCCAATAATTCTAGGGGTTGATTCCTTTTCCATTCTGTTCAACCATTGTGCTTTTCAAAAACCGGATCCGTTTTCCCTGGGTTTCTCGAGGTTTTGTAGAAAGAAGGATCCCTGGAAAGAATGGGGAAGGTACCCCTACTGTAGAGTACGTGTTTCCCGAAGGGTGCAACCGTAAATCGCCTTTCACACACTGATGAAACGCCCTCTCATCCTACAGGTGACATGCTCAGATCTTACGACCAGAATGACAGGGGCTGGGACCTTCGAATTGAATCATGTCCGTAGAGGTACCATTCCTGATGTGGAGAGGCTTCTTTATCAAGTGGACGTGACCATCATCAAAAAACCCTTTAACTCTCCAGTCTCTGCAATTCATTTGCAAACATTCGCCCAAGCCGACACCCTGCACAACGTTGAAATGGCCAGCCAACAAATCATATATGTTCGACCTGCCTGTTCAACAGGTCCGGAAATGACAGGTTCACTTGGGGCCATCACCAACATTGCACCAACAGGTTCACTCTAATCCATAATGAAGATTGTGAAGTAATGAGGGAACAGCCCAAGTCAAACCCCGGTAACCAGCACGTCAAATGGCCCAGCGACTCAGCTGCTAAAAGTTTCCGGGCGCGAATCACAGCCCAAACCATTTGCGGCTGCAATTGTTCAAGGTGAAGTTTGGCTTGACAACCACCTTGCCCAGGGGAGTGCGTTCTCAATCGACCATCATCTGAGTTCAAATAGGGCCATGTGTCAAAACCCCGTACCCCCAGTGAACATCCCAATCCCCACTAAAATGGACTAAAATCGGTGGTGAATTCACCCACCCCAAAATGGGATCCCATTAGTTTGACCCACAGCTATATGGGTGGGAATTTCAATTCGTGACTCTTTGGACATGATTTGGGGATTCAGATGTCCGATCGCCTTTGAGGCGGTCCGCCTCCTCAAAACAAAACTAATGTTGACCCCAGATTGATAAACCCCTAGGGGTCTTCGGGAGTGAACGTTGAGCACAGTCTCCTGCTTCTGCTTGCCATCAGTAGGCCTCAGAGCTGGTGATTGCATTGGCTTCCCTCATGGACAAGTACGTGTTAAACAGTGCGTGTTGGTTGCTTTACTCCATGCGTTCTGAGTCAGTTCTTCCCACAGGCGCCTAGACATTGTGTTCTAACAGGTGGACTCCAACCATTACATTCTACCCTTTCCAAATGGAGGAACCCTCCGACGGGGCTTCTTTGGATCCCTGTCAAAAGGACCCCAAGGGGTATCAACTCCAAAACAACATGCCCGCTTGCCGAAGATGACAGTAGCTCTGCCCCCGACTATGTGACTAGACAGTGGTCACTTGGGACTTACTGACTACCTGACACATGTTGAGGGCGATGGCCTAAAAAGAAACCTGTTTCGAACTCTTCATCCTACAGTCCACAGGAAACAAATTGGATGTTGTCTCCCTAGGACGTATGTGGGTATGTATGTGGGTATGTATGTATGTATGTAATGTAATGTAATGTAATGTAATGTAATGTAATGTATTGTAATGTAATGTAATGTAATGTAATGTAATGTAATGTAATGTAATGTATGTATGTGTATCTATGTATCATGTATGTAGGAAGGTACGTATGCATCTATGTATCCATGTATCTATGCATCTATGTATGTCTGTGTGTCTGTATGCATGCATGCATACATGCATGCATGTATGTATGTGCATGTGTGTGTGTGTGCGCGTGTCTGTGTATGTGTGTGTATGTGTATGTGTATGGTATGCGTATGCTTGTGTATATGTATGTGTATGTGCAAATGTATGTATATATTTATGTACGGTATGTAATGTACTGTCATGTAATGTAATGTAATGTAACGTAATGTAACGTACTGTATGTGTGTACATGTTTATGTAATGACAATGTATATTAAATATATTCGAGCATATGATTTGCCCACGGCCTATTTTGTCATCAGTTGCACTATTGAATGTATCCCAAGTCCGCCGCTGTCTGGGACAGTTGCCACTGTGTTTTGTTTGTCTTGTTGGTGCCTCATGTCACGGGGTCTCCTTTTCACACTATAAAAAAGGGCTCAAAGTCAAATGCCCAAGTGGTTCCAGCAAAAACGGAGAATCAAACCACTCAAAATCGTGGCGGAGGGGGGGGGGAGAGAATCAGCCACGTACGTAATCTACGTGCATGAAAAACGGGCAACACGTGTGTTTCTCGAAATAGTGGCCCCCTAAAACGTTGGTTTCCCTTGGAATACTAACCAAAAGGGGGTCCACCATTTTGAGAAACGTGGGTGGGTGTCCATAAAATTACCCCAACTGTGTGTGCGGCGTGTTGGTTTGCTTTCCGAGTGCTGCACTCCGTCGTCGCCGTCGGATGCGTCTTGGCGGCCACAAGAACCTCCCAAGGTCGAAGACGAGATCAAAAAGTGAAAAGGAAGGAACCCAAAGTGCTCTGGGAGACTTGGTTGCTGCCACGACCCTGCAAGTGAATAACTTGTGGATCCAATAGAAAACCCAATGTTTCCCAAAATGTTAAAGTTCAAAGATCCAATCAAATAGCCATAAAGGAGATTCCTCTTGATCTCGGGTGTATCCAAAACTCAGGCGATACCCGATGTTTAGCGGTGTGCATCTGCCACGGTACGCCAAAGGCCCTCGGAATGCCCATGGATCAAATAACTTGAGAATCCGTGAATCTGGAAATGATGTTGAAAGTGCGTCTGCACTGATCGTCATAGTTGAATCGGAATCTTTTCGAAAGAAGGAATTCCAAAGAATATATTCATGGATGGGTGAGCTCGTGTTGACCCCAGCATACTAGCACCTTGGCGTGTTTGGTGCAGAACGGTATACTTGGTTTTGGAGAACTGAACAAAGTTAATGGCACGCAACAAGTCAGCTCAACGAAATCCAATTGATGGCAAGCAACGCACATTTGCCAAGTCAGCAGCCGCGCAAAGTGAGATAGGACCCTCTTGCGGCATCTAGGTACGGGTGTTTGTCAACATAGTTGTCCCCCAGAATGCTTGGTTTCGTTTGGTCCCTTTAAGTACAAACTGAAAGGGGGTCGATTCACCATGTTGAGAAACACCCATATGTTGCACATGAACCACATGTGTTGGAATATACACGAAGGTGAAATCTGGCACAATTCTCTTCTAGGGCAAAAGGATGACCAAACCAACATGGGCAGCTGGCATGGGGAGATTGAGCCATCTGTCCCATTCTACGCCCAGGTCCAATCTGGCAACGAGCTGACCTTGAGATCGTCCATCTGCACATTGTGCTTGGTGGGGTCCGTTGCCAAGACCATCTCGATCATCCTCAGCATTGCTGGACTGTGGGAAATGGAATCCACTTCTGTGATACAACAAAAAGGGACTATCTCCCATATAAACATGCGATTCCCGCAAGTATCACAAGAAGTGGGGAGGAAGCCCCTGGATCCCACAACCCTGTCGCTGCAAACCTTAGCTACGAAGCCTGCGACCCTGCGACACTGCGACCCATGAAGGCATGAAAGGTATTCTTCCATTTGCTTAAGCCCCGTGGAAAAAC